ATTATTATTATAATGATTTAAATAAACATGCTGTTTTTTATATAATCTAATTTTATAACCTTAGGTCATAAAATCATTTTCCTACTAAAATATCAATCTAGGAATTTCAATTTAATGTGATTTTAGTAGAAACTTCATTACAAATAGAATTACTTGCAAAAACTTCAAGGAATATTGTTTGTTATTTATTACCTGGTTTTCGATGAAATAATTATGTAAATTGGCTCCAACGGCTAATGTTTCATGTCACCGTACTGGGTACAACCCCAGGCTGGGTGCTACTAGTATAGTAATCAACTAAAAGCGCACGCTGTGTCATGTAATTAAACAGTCAAATTATGAGGAAAACGTTTCGAATTTTTTTATTTGTCAATGGTTAAGCTCTTGATACTCTAAGGCCCGTATTATAGAAAGATTCTCAGTGATTGATCTAGTCTTGAGCATAGTTAGAAAGGGATTTCGCTATATATAGCACATAGCGACATCCCTTTCTAACTGTACTCAAGTAAAGATCTACACTTAGTTGTCATTCTGTAATACGGGCCTATGTTAGCGTAGTACAACACAATTTTCGGGCAGCTAACAAAAGTTTTCATCATCAGCCTATTAACGTCCACACTGTAGCAGGTCACAAGCATAACATGCCTTTCGAAGCACAAAGGAAAATAAAGATAACAAATTTTGAGATAAATAATTTTTTGAAATCCCAACCTATGACTGAGGCCAACTTAACTTCGACGTTCGCAGACTAAATGCGCTAACTACTGAGCCATCGAACTCCTCAAATGCAGGGTGACAGGAAAACTCGACCTATTCCTTGAAAGGGGTTATACTAGATGTCATTAGCAACAAATTATGCCCTGTGAACTAGGGATCAAATCTAGATGGTTACCGAGTTGTGACTGTGACGGTTTTTAGATTTTTTAAAAAAAATGACTTGCTGTCAAAAACCAGTAATTGTGAGTAAACTTCTCCACTCTGAACATTGAATTAATATTTTTCTGAAAGCTGAAAAACTTAGTGATAATTTTAAGCACTTGCCCAAAACATACATAATCTCAGAAATAAAAGGACTTTAGTAACAATAATTTTTATGTTTTGTATTTTTTCCGAACTTTGTCGTAAATTATTAGAAAATAACTGTATGGAATTTGGCGTACAAATTAGTAAAAAAAAAACTAGTTTCATAAGCTTTCCAACAAGGTATACAAGTTAATAACTTTATTAGCTGTTTTTATTAAAATCAGCATAAGGGCGCTGTTGGGCCAACATTTTTATTATTATATTCAGATTGAAATGTCAATAGTGTTTCTCTACACCGTGAATAAAATTCAATGTTCATTGATAAAATGTGGTTTAAAAAAAGCTGTATCTTAAAAAAATACAAATCTTGTTCAAACTGCCTACCATTATTTCGTATGCAAGCATGGAGCCCGTGAGAACCTTTGCTACGACGTACTTCACTCACTGTCTCTCGCGTTGTAAGTTTAGATTAAAACAAAAAGGGTAGATACGGCACTAGCCTCACAAAAGTGATCCGCATGAATTGTGGTCCACGACCCTAATCACTTTAGTCACAACTTGACATGCAAACAACGTACATGTGAACGCCAAAAAGAAATATTGCTAATATTTTGTGGTTATATGATAAAACAATGCCTAAGTGTGTTTTTGAAAAGTGCCCTAATTTGCCCAAGAACTAAAAATAAAACCCACGGCATCGCTTTTCATTCGTAAGTACTATAAAATATATTTTTTCATAAAAATTGCTGTTTGTTTTGAATCTTATTCGGTAGTGCCGTCGAGTATTGGTCGCGTGATTGGTCGGTAGAACAGTGACGCGGATCTCGCCGTCTCGTTCGCGCTGCCGTTGAAACTTAACGTGCTGTTTCGTTCGGGTCGGTAATGCAGTGACGCGGATCTCGCCGTCCCGTTCGCGCTGCCGTGGGATCACTTTTTGTTTGATGCAAGTATGAGCGTACCGTATCTACCCTTTTTGTTTTAATCTAAGGTTGTAAGTGAGGTTTATATTTGTTTGGCAGCTGCCAATATCCTCTCCCTCAACTCGTCAATGGATGCTACTGGTGCAAGAACGGGAGAGCGAAGTAAGCAATTGAAGCTAAACGACCATGTGGATGTCGAGCCCACTGATTATAACCGAAAACCATAGCGAGATTTGTTTTAAAATGGAAATTAAATGAAAAACTCTGAACCGTTTTATCATGCAAAAGAAATCATAAAAGTATTTCAAAGGTTTTTGCTTAAGTTTTAGAGAAAACCGCAAATATTATTTTTCTATGTAACTTGGACAGGATGTCCACGTCATAAACGACTTAAGGACTATTAGGACTCCTTTTTATTTTTATCATTGTCAGGGTCAATGAACAGCGTCATGCCGGCACTTCATGGCTATTCGTATTTGCTATTGGTATCGATTCTGGCATAATTCTCTTAACTTTGAACCAAATTTAACATCCGACTTACCGTTTCTTTTGTAAAATTTAAGTTTAGGTTTAGAGAATCATGCCAGAATCAATACCAATTTTTGTGAGGTTGTAGAAGGTAATCTCTAATCTCTTGATCAATAAACCGGTTTTGAAAATTCTTTTCCAGTAGAAAGACACATATGTGTGTGTGCGTTATTATTAAATTCGGAGGCAGTCGGAATGATAAAAATTGATTGTTTGCAGGTTGTTACGTGTTAGTGGAAGTCTAATTTATCGTCTTAAATTAATCCCAAATCTTTTATTTCACTAACTCTGATGCCAATCTAATTTTAATGGGGAACGTTTGCGAGAGTACGTAATAATTTTATATTTGGAGCTATTAAAGGGGAGATGATATGCTAAACCCCACTCTGACACGCATATATATCGGTTTGTAAGGCTTGTGCATCCATGACAGCTTTTATGCCTAGAAACAACTTCAAATCGTTCGCAAAGAGAAGGCATCGAGCAGTCCCAATGATTTATAATGCTTCCACTTCGAATTCCTTCAACAAATATTCCGGCATTGTCTTTTCGGTCGTGATACTCTCTTTTTGATGTATCATATTAAGGGAGTTCTTTATTTCTCCTCTTTTATTAAAAGTTTAAAATCGATTTCTAGCGCTATTGTGCATACGTACATCACTCTCGAGTGCGCAATGCGGGCTAAAGCTCGCTGTGGATATTACCGCTTCTTGTCACATATGTTCTTTGTTTTGAGGACTCTCGCGTATTTCTATCCTGGTCAGTCCCTCGATGTCTACGGTAGTTCAGAGGACTTCTTGTCCGCGGTATTTTAATCCGGTGTGTATCTTACTCGATACAGTTATAACTTTAGCGTATGCACAACAAATAATACTTTATTATTTGCAATGAAATGAAATGAAATGTCATTTATTCAGTCTAGGCTGTTACAAGCACTTGTGAAGGTCAAGAAGCTACGCCATCGGTTCGCAAAACTACGGCGGGAGACCTTGTACTGAGAAGAACCGGCAAGAAACTCAGCAAGGGCTGTTTTTTTCTCCCTGTATTGTTATATACAGTGTCGTCAAGTTGAAAAATTACTTCAGAAATACGTCTGAAGTCACTTTCCATTACATCTCAGATATAACTCGGAAACCGTAATAGAAAATATAAAAGGTTCACCTACACCCTCCTATATCAATAAAACGGCTTATTTATACCTTCCTAAAATAATTTTGGCCAGGCGCCACAAGATCTTGAACGCACTGTTATATCCATTTTAATTATACTTCTGTAATCCGCCCTTCGAGATTACACTTATTTCACTTGCAGTAGCACGCATTATGTGCTGCCACAAGTGAAATACGAGTAAGTGTAATCGCTCGGCCGAATCACATCGTATAATTTCAGTCGAACATCACTTTCAGGTAAGTTCGTTTGAATTTCAATTTATGCGTTTAAGTGCTAGCTTTTTACATACGCAGTCGGTTATGTTAATATGATGGTCAATAGATGCCATTGGTTTGATGCTTGTATATAAGTGTAGACTTTAACTAAAGCCTAACCTCAGTCGCTGTTCAGTGTACATACCTATCATATACGAAAGTTGTATCGATTCGACAATGTTTAATTTTTAATATTTTTTATATTTATATAATATAAATATATTTATATAAATATAAATTAATATGGCCTTTTTAATAAAGAAATACTATTCTATTCTGGCATGATTCTTTACGTGAAAATTTAAATTTTGCGGACAACTTCACGAAATACAGGCAGACATGAACCATTATATAATTTGGTTATAGATTCCAAAGGTGTAGTATGATAGTAAACTATCAAACACAATAAACCAGATTTTGCTTATGATAATGCGACCGAATTAAAATTCAGTTCAATAGACAGTATATGGGGTAATTGTAGAATTTCTTAATTTGCATTTCACACATCATGCGATAAACAAAGAGCCTTTGTTACTCAATATATCAGATTTAATTTTAAGGGAAAATACTCTTTTATAAGGTGAATATGAGATTGTTTTCCTTAAATATAAAATGAGTTTGCTTATTTTTCCCCATTCATGTCCTGGATATGTTCTAAGTTACACCGTTTTTTCAAAAAATGTATGATGCAATACCGCTGTCGCATTAGCTATAAACTATATTTGCAAGTTCGCCACTGAGGTATCTATCTTCTATGCTCCACTTGTATTTTACATTTGCTGGGCTGGAGTAATTTGTAAGGAATAGCATAATTTTTAATTCTTGTTCCTTAAGCATATCTGTATGTAAAGCATCAGGAGTTGTTCACACCGAACTTATAAGGACCTTTGTGCACTTTAAAAGGGCTGTGAGATAAACACCATAAACCGACGGCATGCATGAAGCGGTTGATGAATGTTAAAGAAAGAGGAATGGCAGCACCGAAGAAAGTGGAGATCCATTTGCCTCTGTTAACAAGTTATTAGTACGCATCTGCCAAACAAACGACACTAGTGTTACATTTATTCAATATTTATCTATATTCAGTATTATGGTTAAACTCTAGGTGCTACTGTCGCTGATGCTCAGATCAGGGACTATAGAGGCCACAGGCTGGATCTCCTCAGGCTGCTGGCGGATCAGCCGTGGGTTCCCAACTACCGGTGGGAGCGCACCCCGCACATCGACCTGGAGCTCAACACGGACCTGGAACAGCGATCTCTACCACGCACGACAGAAAACGAGGACGCGAACGTTTACGCAGACCATGATCTGAGGTAAAACTGTTTGATATTTAGTAGCTACCAGACTGAATTTAATAACTCTAATATGATCCTTCAGTCCATGATCCATCCCAAAGTTTTACGAAAAGTTACTTGAGTAATGGAAACCAGTTTCATTATGTTACCACCACCACCTGTGACCAAACACTGCCTTTTGGTGGTGTTGTGTTTCTATTGGTATGTACGGTTTCCAGAGCTTGGCGGGGTTCTTGATAAGGTGCAGACGGGCAAGGCCAAGGAGGATCTTTGATTCCACTTTCACTTAAAAACGAAAGGGTGGAGTAATTTTCCTCATGTTACATTAAAAACGAGATCGATGACGCCAAGTCTCTTGGACCAACGCAGTTCAACGTAATTCTTATTTAAGGGCTGCATCCGAGAAACGTTCAGCGGTCGGCACAGCGCTGAACTCGGGGCGGCGAAGACGCCAGCCGACGCCGGCGCTCGGTAAGGCTGTCACGCCGTATGTCGGCGTCGGTAAGCAACGCCGCCTCACGCATATACCACTGTTCGTGTCTCACTGCAACCCACCAAGGCGACATGACTGGCTAGAGAAAGTGAACCTTTGAGAAAGCCAACCAAACGGAAAGCACGCTTTTCTGCATGACTAATATTCTCGATGTTGTAGTTTAGATTAGATAGCTTGCCACTAGGGCTTAGTTGCCTAGAGACTAGACACATCAAACAAATCAACACACTTCTCTATTTTTTCCCAGTAAAAATAAATACATGGAATTGAATATACAAGTTTATAAATCTAAAGAAGTGATGCGTAGGGATGAGGACTCAGATTTCTATATAAAATTTAAGGCATGTTACGAAAATCCATTACTACAGTTTGTAGAGCGTCAAGCATCAAGATCTTTCAAGGTGTGTGTGTGCATTATGTGGTAATGCTCTCGGAGATCTTCCAAATAGTTGGGAAATAAATATCTTTAAATTAAACTTGTTCTTCTCAATAATTTTTTTTATTAACGAACATTTTAATTTTAGATGTGTAACATCTTCCCCCTCGCTTTCCTGCAATTTGTGGGAGTGATTTCGTGAAATGGGACGGAAGTGTGTAACAGGAAGTCGCGAAAGCGCGCGCTATTTGATTTCATTTTAGAACATAATGTTCAAATGGCTTATTCCTTTTGTAGTAGGTTTTATTTCTCTTTTTTACTAATATAAGGTGAGATTTCAAACGTTACACATCATACGCGACTACTGTAAGGCTCGCTCGTTTTTTATTTATATACTAAATATAAAGGACGTGTTTAAGAAACTGCCCTTGACGTGTATAATTATTTCGCAAAACATACAACTTTCGTGAAATAATCAAATTATAAAAGTACTAGTGGCCCGCCCTCGCTTTGCTTCGGTGTAGAGCTGTAGTGTATAGACTATAGTTTTTGTTCAAAGGCTTGTATTATACACACAATGCCTTTCTTCATAATAATTATAAACCTTCCATTCCAAGTAAAAAAATCGTTGCGTAGTTTAGGACCCGTTGTACAGAATGCAAGATTGCTCTGCTGTTCCGATTTGAAAAAATATTTTTGTATTGGACAGTGCACTTATCTAGGAAGGCTATATATTACCAGGCTACGACCAGTAGCAGCGGAGCATCGATGAAAAATGTTGCAAAAACGGGTAAAAATATTCCAATTGTGACATTCCATTGCGTACGCTGGGAAACGGTTAAAGTTACACAAAAATGATGTATGACGGAAGTCTTCCCCTTTAAAAGTTCTGTTAAAAAAAAGTCCACGACAGCCTATGTCCGTATTTTAAGTTTGACTAACTATAAACCTTTTTCTTCAAGTTAATTCGGGGAAACCGCAGGGAACCTCTAGTTGTGACGTAACTGTAATAGTTACACATAAGGTATCGCGGACTTTTCTGTAGATATTGGTATCCTCTATAAAACTTTAGTACATCACTTTGCTCTATTGTCAATGACTTCCGCAGCGTACGAGATATAAAGCTATTTATTGGTATTTTTTACACATGTTAGGTTACATTATCAAGGTATTCATACGGATCCCTAACTTTTTTGAAAATACACTATAACCTACCTATATTAATCAGTGATAATGTAGAATTCAAATGCTGAAAGAATTTTTAAAATCGGTCCAGTACTTTTTGAGCCAATCCGTTACAAACAAACTTACATACAAATCTTTCCTCTTTATAATATTATTTAAAATATATATATATAGTAAATAGTATAGATAAAAATTGACTTCATGTCTGTTCCAAAAGGAAAATGTTCCGTTTTACAAAAACAAATGAACAATATATGTGCACAAAAAATATTTGTGTAAGAATATCGAAATAAGGAGCTGGATGCGAGTAGCCCAAAATCGATCTGAGTGGCGTGCAATTGGAGAGGCCTATGTCCAGCAGTGGACTAGGATAGGCTGTTGATGATGATGATGATCGAAATAAACAAAATTTATTCCAAACTCAAAAAAACTATGACACATTTGACCCTTACTTTTATTATAACAAATCACTGAAGGCCTAAAATAATAGATTTTATTTTTCTGAACAGGCTGTAGACAAGGTTGTATGATAATTAATCCTTTGATTTTTACAAATGAACGAAATAAAACTTTACAGATTTCCAGTCCGGCCGATGACAACAAAATATTTGTACTTATTTTTGCTTTAAAAATACTTTTTGTGAAGTGTTAATCAGAGAAATGTAAGAAAAGATTCTAAGAAAATGCGAAATTGATGGCTCTGTAAATAATAGGGAAGATGCATATATAATATTTATGAAAAATTTATGATTAAAATGTTAAAAAAATATAAAAGAAATGCCACTGCAACGTTTTTATTTTACATAATGTTGTTTTTTAACAATTATTACGATTTAAAAATACTTGAAACGGAACGTATTTTAAAACACCAATCAGCGTTTAGTGACGTCCCTCCTGTTATGACAACTTCTTTGAGGTTCTTCTTCATTGTTAAAGTAAATATTATTTTATGGGAATATTTATTGCGTTTTTTTACATTTAATAAAAATGGAAGTTGCGTTTTCGGCTATGTCCAAATTAAAATGGATGGAGAATTATGTACAGTAAAAGGTCGCGTTCTCCGGAGCATAAAGTACGTAAAGAAGGTTATCGTGTTACAGTTATTTTAAATAAAACGCAAAGCTTGGTTCAGTCCTGCCAATGTGAAGATTGTGCCACACATTTTAAACTTTATCTAATTTTCGACGTGATTCTCCGACTGTAAAATTAAAAATATGTTATAGACAGGTTTTGTAAGTATTAGGTAGGTTACGTACAAGCAGATTAATTAAGCATATAACAAGTATATTCGCCGACTTACGTCAAAGTGATCTTCTCAGCATCGAATAATGGTCTTTGGAGAATAATTGTCATTTCTCTTCACAGCTTGAAACCACTTTTTTCAGTTTTGGGTCAGAAGTTCCAGTCAAAAACAATTTATTTGGGAACTTTGTTGAAGTAGATTGGCACAAAACATGAGTCAACACGGCTTTTTTTCGGAATATTAGTGGTATTGTTATGATCACATGATGTTGATGGATAGTCCATTTTAAATTTTTCAAGAAATATTTCGAAATTCCGAAAAAATATGCAAAAGTATGAAAATTTAAAGCCAGCAACGAACAATTACGACCAATGACAGACAGGAGTGACGTCATCGCAACCATAGGTTCGTTTTCGCGCGAAAATTTAAATTGTCAATTTAAAACCGCATTTTTTCCGATAAATCACAATGTTTTAATTTTTTAATATATCTGTGGTTTATTCTACATGGAATTCTTTAAAATGAAAACAAAAATAAAAATATTGCATCTTCCCTCCATCTTTTAGGACGTAACAGGACTTTTCATAGTTTTCAAGGTTGTGACTCTATCAAAAGTTCCTGAGCCGTTTTCCATAAAAATTATAAATATTCAGCCATTTAGTATTGAATATTTCTAATTACAATATTTATAAATTGCTTGGGCAGTATATCATATAAAATTTTACCATGTCCATTTACATTTTTTTTACTTCAGTTTTTTACCAAGGGTTAATTTTTCAACTTACTCGTATAATATCGCATGATCATGTGTACAATGTTAATTTTTGATGGATGGATGATTGAATAATAATTTGTTTGTCCGATAAGTTTCTATCTGAGAATGGAAAAATCATTCTTTAAACTAATAAAAATTTAATCTCATATTCAACAACAGTACGGCACACGAAAGCAAGCAACAAGTTCAAAGTAAAAATTTAATAATAAATGTAAATCAAAAATGGAAAAAGCTTTCTAATCTGACATTTGTTATTCCAATTTATGATAATATCTGAAAATACTTACATATGACATTAGATCTATTATTCAACTTGTTTTCGATTGAATATCTTTGTTTTTCTTTGTCCCATCTTCAAAATTAATTTTGAATTAAATAAATAGGAAAACATTTGATTGACAAAATAATGGTCGCTGTTCCGTCGTTTAAAGAAAAATAAAACCAACAAAGATTCTTGCTTATTTACACTAGTGCCTGTACATCGTTTGGGCTTAAGTCGTGTTTTGTCACATCAGCACCACTAGCCCGCATTTTTCTTCATATTTGTCACGTCGTAAGTTACTCACGCTATTTCCGTATAAGTTAGTGATGAAGGATGAAATACATAGTGTAGAAAAAATATGATGGTGCAATATTAACAAAAATTACATTCAACTTAGGCCGCGTTGTTAGTCGAATGTAACTATAGTTAAAATGCCATAGAAAAAATAACCAGTTGTCAAACTTTGACATTGAAGACTTTCAAAGGTTATAAAATCATGGGAGTCATGACCCCCCCCCTCAGGGCCATCCTGTACCGACTATTTGACCCCCCCCCCCCCCCCCGGCGCCAAAGGTGGATTCGCCCTTGACACTTAAGAGTGCAATACCGCCCTTAGAATAGGTTATGATATTTGGTCACGATCTTCTGTAATGTTAGATATGATTATGGACCAAGATTTTATAGACTGGTTTACATTGAACGTAAACGTAGGTAATGTACACGTTTGCCTTTTACGTTTACGGTAGGTGAGATGACTGCGGGTTTTGCAGTCTTACAAACAACCCTTACAACTCTAATAACTAACTGGTTGAACAAGAAGAAGGTCATTGTTAACAATGACTTTTATATAGAATGTTCTATATAGAATGTCATTGGTCGTAAATATACAAAACACATTGTTTGTTATCTCAATAAGGCTACTTAGTATTAAAGGGATACTGGCGTGGCGAATTTTAATTAGTTTTGAATGTTTCGAAAGAAAATCTTTTTATCATCCGTAATAATGTTTGCACAATTTCAAATTTCTTGGTAGTACATTTACTAGTTCTCTGCAACTTAGATGTAGAAAGTTGTCTTCAATAATGAAGTAGTTAAACTATTAATTACACACACTCTCCAGATGAACAAGGACTTTCAGAACTTGCATGCAAAGATGAGTCGTAGTCGTGACATTAAATTGATGTACAGACCACATGAAGAATTCTAATATGACGGAGTAAGGTTTAATAGCTAAATACTTGAAGGGTAATAAATTTTAGTAAACACGTCCCTACGATGCGCACACATCTTCATATATGCTTAGCTGGCTTGTTACATGTTGCATGTGATTTATGTATTCACATATTATATTGTTGAAGTAAATATATTTTTAAACATTTTGTATGCCGTTTTCCTAAATATTAAAATATGTAGAAGACTCGCAACCTTAGTTCACAAATGTTTCCATGTCAAGTACCTACATTATTTCTTAATTTTTTTGCACAATTTTCTTATTATTAAGTACTTACGACTGTAACTTAATATTGTTTGTAAGATCTTCTGAGTTGATAAATTAGAAAATTAATGAGAAAGATAAATTAATTATGAAATTAATAAATTAATCAGAACATGATTTGTATATTTACAACATGTTACCTTATTTGCTCTCAGCTTCAATTTTTTTTAGAAAAAGTTTAAGTTTTAATAATATGCTTTACCTTGATGTATTTGGTTGGCAGGTGTCCTTAATGACGTAGGATCATTCTTTGACTCGCTCCGTGATAACCTGGAGGCACTGGCATCACTGTCTCCGCAGCAGCGATCCACTCTGTTCCAGGATACACCATCCGTTGTTCACGCCCCAGCTGCTGGTGAGTGCACTTTCAAAAACTTCAAAAGTTTAATTCAAATCTAAAATATGATACCTATGTATTGCACTATATCAGTTACACCGTTTGATCATGGCATTTGCAACAATGCCGAAAGGAGATTGCTCAAATTGGCCCAAATGTACAAAAAATATTGACATATACGGTAATTCTTGGCGTAATTTATACTTTATTTTACAGTTTTAACGGACACCTTTGTATAATATATTCATTTTAAAAAGGACTTTAAATTTTACCGGTTTGGAAAACATACGAATCATTTTTAATGGCTATGGGTCTAGTAACATTCAGCCAAAGACTGATCGAAGTTGTTTATTGATCAAAACAAATCTATTTTGTAAAAATCGACAATATAAAACTTTTTTTTTATTACACTGTGGTATTAATATCCACATGTATATTATCATTTTTACTACATGTGCAAATGTGCTAAGACAAATATTTTTCGCCAAACACCTACATAAACACATTATAAGGTGAGATATACTAAAAATCTAAAATATGGTCATAATATCAACATAACAAAAATAATGAGCTTTCTTAAGTTAACGAGAGTTTAAAAATTCTCTCTAATCTCTCAAATAACACACAGTTTCTGTCACAGTGTACTATACCTTATTAAAACCGGAAATGTATAGATGATACTTGATTTTAAAAGTTACTCTTATGCATTAACTTTAAAATCAGCCAAGTATCTATTAATCTACATGCTTTATATACCTGAATCTAATACTAGTTTGATGTCCCTAGTTTGCTGTATAACTTATTGGTTTTTTATTATTTTAATACCGATGTACCTATTTGCAAACATAACCTCAAAATCATTCAGTGTATATGGTTTATAGAAGTTCTCAGGGGTGTCCGTCAATAATTTTCGTTTCTACAGTAATTAAAATTACAGTAATTTATATATAATTTCGAATCTAGGAAACAATTTTTCATGATTATTTGTCTTTAGGCCAAACATGTATGGAAGCTGAGCTATCTCCTTTCGAGGACTTGCAAAAAAAGTGGTTCTATCGAAAATTCAAAGTGTCAAAACACCGAATTTTTCATATATGGAGAAAAATGTGTAAAAATAAGCATATCAGCAATCAAATTGGACGATGGTAAGTTAGCAATCCTGCTAAATTTACTATAATGTTAGTGACCATGAAAGTTTAAAACAAATGTTGGAAATATGATAATAAGTAACTCTTTTAAATAACTTTATACCTAATTTAATCGGTCCATAATCTTCCCAGAACGAGGTTATAATTAATCGAATTTTTGTTTTATGACCGTTTATAACAACGGCTGCGATCCTGCCTTCTGCTCGAGAGGTCCAGTAGAGTTTGATTGAATCTATATTAGGTACTACAAGTTTTACTTACTTTGAAGTGAATAATTGTTGTGACTTTAAACTTTCCGGAGTTTATTATTATTAATGAAATAGCTACCGCCTACAACTTCTTTCCTGTCGCGCAATATTCCTATTTGCTTTCTATACGGACCTTCAACAAAGCATTAGAAAACTTTAAATAAGAAGATGGATGAAGTCGGTAAAGTTGTTCTCAAATTAAGGCAATAGGGATTAATTAATATACATAAAGATTTGTCAAAAGCAATTCATAAATTACCTACTAAAATCCTCTATGCAAGGTCGGATCTGAGTTTTGTAAATACTATTCAAATATTTTGAGAAAACAAAGTGTAGGTGTACAATAATAAGTTATCCTCAGAAAAAGCTATAAAAAGTACCTACAATTTTCTTAAGAGAACTCGAAACCAGCCAATGAAATATGTATATTGAATCTCGAATGTACATAAAGAAGTACTTGAGTGCATCACGAGCCAACGTGGGGGAATTTTTAATAGAATTGAATATCCAATAACGTAGAGGATTGTTGACGCTAGAAATACAGCAAACCAAATCTCACATTTGTTTATTACACTCAGAATAGACAAATGGTATACTTTAATGAAATCGTATGTGAAACACCTACGTACGAGCTAACAAACATTGAAAATAAATACGTACCTACATACGTGTATAAAGTTTTGTCCTTTGAGAGACCATCAGGTGGGCAAACGAGTAACTAATTTAAACTTTGTCATCCAATACGGTTGCTAGGCTAATGTTACGGCCCACTATCCACTGTAAAGACAACAAAAGAGCAAATGCTAGTTTTTGTAAGTAATGCACTCGCATCCGACGGCGACTTTGTATCCATGTAGGTACTTCAGAATTTCACTGAAATAAAAGAGCTTTTTATACGAAAAGAAATATATTTCTTTATAACTAAACTTATTATAAATAGGTGTAAAATATAGTTTCTGAAAGTTAAACCCGACAAACATTTCTCTGCCGAACGATCTGCCGACAGAATGTTTCGTTTGTGAGTTGTTCAGACGACAGAGCCCTTTGACTACAAACGATTCGCTGACAAAACGATTAGATTCTGAAAATATTTTTCAAATAACCTTTCAAAACTTACAAACTTTAGATTCAGTCATAAGTTTTTTTAAACACCAATTAGCCTAGCCCCAAAATAACACTGGACACCCTGACATATTTATATATTGAGATATATATCTACATACCTTTTATATATTACTTCCACAACCTCCACGTAAACATTTTTATTGCAAAGCTTGTGAAACGGATAATACTTTATGCAATAAAACAACGCAGAAATATTATTAATATCAACATCATATTTTTTACCAATCTGTTTTCTTGCTGTATATTCAGAGAAAATTGGCGTCTTCAAAGGTAAACAAGAACCTTCATTTCTTGTTATTATATTTGTTTTAGTATTGTAAAATCTAACCCAAAACCGTATCTACTGACCAATATAAATAAACCAGAAATGGCGAGTGTACCTTCGTTTTCCTGCTGCCGGGTTCGTGCTCTGTTTTAAAACGGAATTGTCCTTTTTCCTGTTCGAAGAATGAAATAAAAAGGTCGTCTACATCTGTATATTATCATAGAGCATAAGTACTAATAAATGCATCATAATGAATGTATTTATATATATACTAGCTGACCCAGCGAACTTCGTACCGCCCTAAAAAAATAGGGGTTGTCCAGCGGACAAAATTGTGAATCTAAACCATTCTCAGATCCCCTTGAACACACACAAAAAATTTCATCAAAATCGGTCCAGTCGTTTAAGAGAAGTTCAGTGACATACACACTCACAGAAGAATTATATATATAAAGAAGTGTAGTGTTTATAATTCAAATTTACATTTAGTCTATATATAATATATATATATATATTATAATAAAATGGTAGGAAAATCAAAACTGTACATTGAATTATTTTTTTAAAAGAATACTTGGGGTGTGATCTACAATCGATAACGAAGCCAAAAATATAGTTTTTAGAATTTTTGTCGGTTTCTCTGTATGTATGTCCGGGATAAACTCAAAAAGTACTGCATGGATTTACTTCAAATTTGGCACGAATATTATTAAGAAGTCAGGTCAACATATAGGCTACATAGTATCACACTATCACCTACGGGGAACAAGCAGTGAACCTTTATTTGTAGCTAACTCCACGCGTACGAAGTCGCGGGCGGCCGCTAGTTATATAATAATACATATTACAAGAGCTAAAACATAAAAATCTGGAAGCGCGGGCGGGATATTTTGTAGCTATATACTGTTCGGGATAAAAGTATATTTGTGTTTTGTTAGTAAGGTCATGGACTAATAATAATAGAGTTTCATATTAGTATCCCAAGATGTAATTCAATATATTAGTAAAAGGTACTTTCATTCGATAATATAGGTATAAATGTTCAGTCGCCATCTTTTCAATATTTTCAAATGAGGTTTGTTAAAAATATATGTATGTATAGGTGGGTATAAAAATTAAAATTTATTTTCATACTTATAAAATTCTGTAATCTTTATGATTCATAATTACTTATTGAATAGTACTATCTAACAAATTGATTCTAGGACCCCCATGCCCAATAATTCGCTTAAAAATGTCAAAACAAACCAGTTTTCTTATTAAGAGAATGCGTAATTGTATTTAGGCCCTTCTAATAACTAAAAAACTGTACTGATATGGATCAAAGGTCTTTAAAAATTGATCTTTGTTTGCAATGCAAAAGATGATCGTATATATAATTTTTGTATATTATTTTGAATTTAGAAATCACTTTTAAAATCGTAAATGTAACTGAAACTCTTTTGATTTCTTGATACTAAGTAATAAGTTAGTGTCATAGGGAAATCCTTAGTGTGTGGGTATGGGCAGATCTCCAAATCACAGTGAGGCGAAAAAATCTATCACATCAATGATTGTTCAGAAAATAACACGTTTGATTCCAAGGATACGTACATTTAAGTGAAAGTCTATCTTATTGTTTTGCAATGGTTGTAAGAAAATAAGCACAAGGTGGGTCAGGAATCAAATTGGCTGATAGTACATCGTATCATTACTAATATTTCATTTTCTAAACAATAAGTTTAAAACACCAAAATTTTGAATAAACTAGTATAATAAAATGTTATTCCAATCCTACCTTCGTCAAAACTAACACACGTACCTTTATTATGAGCGGGGTTCAATCTACTTTAAATTTTAACCCACACAACTTCCTGTTTTAAAAACAAATGGAAATTTACAATTTTATCTCAAACATCGGCCAGCTAATAGTAACCGTACAGTGTTTAGTATAAAATTTGTGTATAAATTACATTCCAAATTGTAGTGGCCGAACGACGGTTATCTACTTAGTGAGGAAAGGCTTAAATATCTGTGCTTCCTAGAGTTAATAACCTTTAGGGTACTTAGGGTCTTTTGGGACACTGCAGTGTCATTAGGATTTGAAACATAATAGAAATTAGAGATGAAGGGCTCAGCAGGTTTTCTGCTCATTGAGCGCCTAACCTCACAGAAGACCACAGTGAAAGGACACTACGTTTAGCTGGCGTTTCTGTTGTTGAGTAAAGTTCCACAGGGTATGTGATTGGGTGC